TAGATTTCTTCTGTGAGATCTCCATTGAGAAATGCAGTCTTCACATCCATCTGATGTATGACGAACATTTTAATTGTCGCCCATACGATAAGCACTCTGATGGTAGTGATCCTGCAAACTGGTGCATAGATATCAAAGAAATCTATACATTTTTTATGAGAGAATCCTTATACATTTTTTATGAGAGAATCCTTTCGCCACCAGTTTTGCTTTGTACTTTTCAATAGTACCATCAGGTATACATTTTTTATGAGAGAATCCTTTCGCCACCAGTTTTGCTTTGTACTTTTCAATAGTACCATCAGGACGAAGTTTCTTCTTGAAGATCCACTTGCAACTGATAGGACTTGCACCTTGAGGTACATCCACCAGCTCCCAAGTGTGATTTTGGATCAATGAATCCATCTCATCATCTACAGCTTCTTTCCACAGAAGAACGTCTGTTGACTGCATTGCTTCTTGAAAAGTCTATGGATCTCCTTCCACATTATAGGTGATGAAGTCATCTCCAAAATCTTTCTGTCTTCTGACGCGCTTGAAAGATGGTTCGATAACTCCTTCATCATTGACTGGCTCCTCTTGTGCATCTGATGTACTAGCATTCTCTGCTACATCTTTGAGCAATAAACCTTTATGTTTGATAAACTTATCCTCAAAGAATTCTGCATCCCGAGCTTCAATGATGGAGTTGGTTCCAAGGTCCAGGAATCTGCATGCATTGCTATCTCCAGCAAAGCTAAGAAATACACATTTGTTTGCCTTTGGTCCGAGCTTAGGTCTTCTGATATCTGGTATTCGAAAGTATGCGAGACACCCTAACACTTTGAGACTATTCAAAGAATTTGGATATCCCAACCATAACTGTTGAGTTATTTAGATAGTGATTAGTCAATGTTGTAAGGACCTATTTGTAAGAGTGCACTTATATAAAAATGGTACCTCTCTATGAGAAACTAACCCTAATTCTTACCCAAAAGTCTTCATGGTATCAGAGCCATGTGACGGCGTCACCCGTGTCTCTCGCCTCTAATCCTTCTCGCGAGCTAGGCGTGATCGGGGTCTCAAGACGACGGAGAACCGCTGTTGCTGATCTCAAGACGACGAAGACGACGAAAGCTGACGAAGCCCGACGATCCGCCGCTGAGCCGACCGGTTCCCGACGAGATCCGCTGTCGCTAACTCAAGACGACGAAGAACCCCCCTCGGATCCAACGAGATCCGACGAAGATCTGACGAAAACGAGGATCAGACTTGTCTCCGGCGTCCGATCTCCCCTACCGCCGCCTCCCTCCGCCTCATCGCCGCGATCGCATCCTCAGGTTCACTCTCGTATCGCGTTCTTGGGTCGCCTCATCAGCGTTTTTGGTTTGGTTGATTCGATACTTGGAGAGAGAGAGGTTGGGATCAAGGTCAAAGCGATGCGACCAGTCTCCGTCGTTTGTTTCTCTACCATTTTTTTCGATGCTTCCTGCGTATTTATCCGACCAGCTAAGTTTGGCACTTGTTCCTTGGGAAGAGATTGGGCCTGCTGATTTTTTTAAGACTGGTTTGATTGAAGATTAAGTGATATTTGCTTGTCAACTGTAGTTGAAGATTAAGTGATATTTTTTTCAGAGTGGAGACTGGAGATATTTACTTGTAGTTGAGTTGGGTTTGACCTTGTTTCTATGTTGGGTTTGAGATAAGGGCTGTCAACTGTGAAAATGGGAACACCTGTGACTAGTCAGGAATTGAAGGAGATCCTGGAGGGGGTAGCCAGGGTATTTCAGACCAAACTAGAGGAGAATTCTAGTAGGTCGGTTGTGACCACATCGGAGTCGACGCAGGTAATGGAGAGGGTAAAGTTGCTGCCGAATGACATCAAGCTTGAGGGGACAAGAAACTATCTGAGTTGGTCTCGGAGGGCATTGCTGAACCTTCGAATCAAAGGACTTGAAAAGTATGTGAAGGGGGAATGCATTGAGCCGGAGAATAAGACGAGTGCTGAGTGGAACACATGGAGTAATACTAATTCTCTGGTGATTTCTTGGTTGTTGACTTCTGTGTCTCCAACCATAGCTGAGATGGTGGAGTCTATCTCAAGTGCAGCTGATGTCTGGAGGACATTGGAGGGGATGTACTCTGGAGCTGGGAGTGTGATGATGATGATGGAAGTGGAGGAGAAGATTGATGCTAGCACACAAGGGGAGAAGACAGTCCACTAGTATGCAGCAGAGCTACGTCACTTATGGGCGGATTTGGATCACTATGATCTATTATCGCTACAAAATCCGGCAGATGTTCTTTTGGGGAGATAATATCTTGAGCGCAGGCGTGTGGCTCGTTTTCTTAAGGGTCTGAACCCAAAGTTTGAGGGGAGGAGGGCAGCAATGTGCCATCTGTCATCTCTTCCCTCTTTGGATGAGGCTATTGCATCGATGGAACAAGAGGAGATCAGACAGAAGGTGATGACAGGTGAGGCCTCACCTGCTGTCCGCTCGGCATTGGTGGTTCCGGATGCTCACATCAGAGATGATAGAGAGTGCTATAATTGTGGAAAGAAAGGACATCTCAGCTACAATTGCCCTCAACCCCGTAACACTGGTGGCAACCGAGGAGGCAGAGGACAGAGAGGTGGCCGTGCAGGTCGAGGAGGCAGGGGACGTGGAGGCCGAGGAGTTGCTCACCTAGCTGTGGCAGATGAGTCCCAGGCTACTATTGGGATGACTGGAGCTGAAATAACAGAGCTGGAGAAACTACGTCTGTTCAAGCTTCAGGCTGAGAGTTCGAAGGGCAAGAGACAAGTCACTCAGAATCTGGATACAACTACATGCTTTGGTAACTTTATTGGTTATGCTCATGCGAACAAAGGTACACAGGTTCAGGTACTTGCATCCACTAAAACTCATGTTGATTAGATCATAGACTCAGGTGCATCTAGGCATGTCACGGGAACATCTAGTGAGTTTGCATTATATTATCCTAGTAAGCATATGCATCCCGAGACAGTTCAGACTGCTGATGGGACATCTCAACCCATCAGAGGTACTAGCTTAGTCCATTGCACTTCATCTGTTACCTTGTCATCCGTATTGCATGTTCCTTCGTTTCCAGTTAACTTACTCTCAGTTAGCTCTCTCATTGATCAATTAAATTGCACCGTGTTGTTTGATCGAGATTTGTGTGTCTTTCAGGAGAAGGAAACTGGGAGGAGGATTGGGACTGGCATCAGGCGTGATGGTCTTTGGTACTTGGATAGGGAGACTGCAATGATTGCTACTGCTGTTAGCGGAGGGCCAGAGGCAGAAGCGATGCTTCAACATTGCCGGTTAGGGCATTTATCTTTTGAGAGTTTGAATAGATTAGAACCTGAGTTAATGAAGAAAGTGGATAGAAAAGAGTTATTTTGTAATGCATGTGAACTTGGAAAACATACTCGTTCTACTTATAGAATGATTGGTGTTCGAAGTTGTGAACCATTTGCACTTGTCCATTCTGATGTTTGGGGACCATGTCCTGCTACCTCTATTAGTGGTTTTAGATGGTTTGTTACTTTCATTGATTGCTATTCACGTATGGTCTGGATATTCATGATGAAACAGAAATCTGAGGTTTACAAATGTTTTCAAGACTTCTCGGCCTATGTGAAGACACAGTTTGGAGTGCAGGTGAAGATTCTCCGAACAGATAATAGGACTGAGTATGTCAACAAGGAGTTTGCCGTTTTCATCTCTAGTCAGGGAATCATTCATCAAACCACCTGTCCAGACACCCCTGCTCAGAATGGGGTAGCTGAACGTAAGAACATGCATCTACTGGAAGTGGCCCGCCCATTGATGTTGACAATGAATGTGCCTAAGTTTTTATGGAGTGAGGCTGTCATGACATCAGCTTATTTGATCAACAGGATGCCATCAAGAGTGTTAGGGATGAAGACACCATGTGAGATGCTCTTGGGCTCGAATGTTTTTATTGTTCCACCAAGAGTATTTGGATGCACATGTTATGTGAGAGATCACAGAATGATGGTGAGTAAATTGGATCCGCAAGCAGTTAAATGTATTTTTGTTGGCTACTCATCAAGCCAAAAAGGATATAAGTGTCGGTGTCCCACTGAAAGAAGGTTGTTTGTCAGTATGGATGCGACTTTTCGGGAGTTTGAACCTTTTTATGGGGAGAAGACGGAGTTGAGTTCCTTGTTTGGAGATGACTCTACTGATGCTAGTAGAGAGGGGGGGGGGGAAGGGGAAGGACCATGTCCTCTTGAGTCACCGAGTAGTGATGGTACATCGCCGAGTAGTGGTGGCGACTCAGGAGGTGACAGTCAAGGTCAGGGGGAGCTGAGAGTATACACGAGGAGACAGAAACAACAGCATGAGCCGCCTCCTGTGCCTATGCCAGTGCCCACAAATGTTGATGTCCCAAGTCCCTCCTCTCCAGTGACTTCTCCACCTGAGTCGATAGGTAACGAGTTCTTCCCTGATACTTCTAATACTCTCGTCTTGCCCCGCAGAACCCCCAGAGTTAATGCTGGAAAACCTCCAGCTAAGTTTGGTAGTTGGGATACTGACATTGCAAATTATATTTCATATGCATCCATTCTATCTGCATATAAGTCATTCATTGCATCATTGCATTCAGTTCCTGTACCTAACAACTGGCAGGTCGCTAAGCAAGACCCTAAGTGGTTGAGTGCCATGCAAGAGGAACTTCGGGCCTTGAAGAAGAATGATACATGGGAGCTGGTACCTTTGCCAGCTGGGAAGCGTGCTGTCGGATGTAAGTGGGTGTATACAGTTAAGCAAACTCCAGAGGGCAAGATCGACAGATACAAAGCTAGATTGGTTTCTAAAGGCTACAGTCAAATGTACGGCATTGACTATGACGAGACATTTGCTCCAGTAGCAAAGATGAGTACTGTTAGAGTGTTGGTGTCATGTGCTGCCAACTTCAATTGACCACTACATCAGCTAGATGTCAAGAATGCCTTTTTGCATGGAGATCTTCAAGAGGAGGTGTATATGGAGATTCCACCAGGCTTCGCTACTTCTCAAATAGCTGGGAAGGTGTGCAAGTTGAAGAAGTCTTTGTATGAGTTAAAACAGTCTCCGAGGGCATGGTTTGACAGATTCAGGTTGGCGGTCTGCGGTATGGGGTACAAGCAGTGTAATGGGGATCATACTGTGTTTTACAGGCACTCCAAAACTCGTATCACTATTCTGGCGGTCTATGTTGATGATATTGTAATCACTGGAGATGATGTTGAAGAAATCCTAAGATTGAAGAAAAGATTAGGAGAGGAATTTGAAGTTAAAGATCTAGGGCAGTTGAAATACTTTCTGGGAATTGAAATTGCAAGGTCGCGAAAGGGTATAGTGCTTTCTCAGCGGAAGTATGTTCTGGATCTTCTCTCAGAGACAGGGATGTTAGGGTGTAGAGTTGCATCTACTCCTATCGAGCAAAATCATAAGATGTGTGCCGAGGGTGGTGACCCAGTGAGTAAAGAGCAATATCAAAGATTAGTTGGACGACTTATATATTTATGCCATACGAGACCTGATATTACTCATGCCGTGAGTGTGGTGAGTAGATATATGCATGATTCCAGAGAGCAGCATATGAAGGCAGTTCGCAGAATTCTTAGATATATTAAGGGAAGCCCAGGAAATGGGTTGTGGTTCAGAAGTTTTGGACATCTGAGAATTGAAGGCTACTGTGATGCTGATTGGGCGGGTTGTATGGATGATCATAGGTCCACTACAGGCTACTGTGTATTTATTGGAGGCAATCTCGTATCTTGGCGTAGCAAGAAGTAAATGTGGTGGCTAGGTCTATAGCTGAGGCGGAGTACAGTGCTATGACAGTTGGTCTGTGCGAGTTGATGTGGGTCAAAAATATATTATCTGAGCTGCGCTTGTTTAGAAGAGACTCCTTACAACTTTGGTGTGATAACAAATCGGCGATTAATATTGCAAACAATCCAGTTCAGCATGATCGCACCAAACATGTGGAGATCGATCGGTTCTTTATCAAGGAGCAACTGAATAGAGGAGTTCTGACTTTGAACTATGTGAAATCAGAAGAGTAATTAGCTGATTGTTTAACAAATGGATTAGGTTCTAGAGAGTATTGTTGGCCTTCTTGTTTTGATGATGTTTAACAAACAATTTATTACTAATGTTGTTTGTCTAGTGTTTGTGCATTCCTATGTTTTGTAGACAAACAACGTCGTTGGAGGATGGATGGAATAGAGTTTCAACGATCATATCCAAAGGAGGTTGGCGGAATGTCGGTGAAGCCTTGCAATTCAAAGTTAAAGATCAAGTTCAAGCCTCATCCGCGAGTTTACCAAGTTGAGCTACATCGAAGACCAGATCATTGCTTGGATCAAGTTGGGTATATTTAGTATAGGTTTATATTATGTGTGTTATATACTCTAAGCTCAATATTATACTCACACACACATTTATTAGTTTCTTAGTATATATATATATATAGTTATATACATATACATCTTGGTTTTTAGTTTTATCCACAAACAAAGTTTTTACAAATAAATTCCAAAAAAATGTGTATACATGCTTGTTTTCTATGTGGATAAGTTGTTTTGGTTTAATTTCATAGATATGAAACAAATATATTTTCATATACATACTCATACGTTTTACTTTCTATTGTATTTGTGAAAATATTGTTTTCTTGGTTTATAGACTTAACAATAATCATATACATCTTTTATTAAGTCTACAAAATCATTTTGTAATGTTTCAAAACATGGTTAAGCTAAAATGTCAAGATTCATATGTTTACATTTTCATGTTTTGGACTATTTTGTAAAATGATGGTATTTCTCATTTGGGAAGTCTTTTTAGAAAACCAGTTTTTGTAGCATGTGTATTATCATGTCTACAATCATTCCCCAAAGTTTTACATTTTTCTGAATTTATTTGATATTTTTAAACAGGGTTTTAAAATCAGCAAAACAGTTTTTGAATATGTCAGATTTCGGTCGACCGCCAGTTTTTGTAGCATGTGTATTATCATGTCTACAATCATTCCCCAAAGTTTTACATTTTTATGAATTTATTTGATATTTTTAAACAGTATTTTAAAATCAGATAAACAATTTTTCAGACCTGTCATATCTGTTTTCGGTCGACCGCACCGGTCGACCGAACCTAAGGTCAAAAGTTCACTGAGCGACAGAAAGCTGTCGGTCGACCGGTCCGGTCGACCGATGAAAATTTTCGGTCGACCGACGAATTTTCCGGTCGACCGACGAGTGTTCCTTCAGCTTCCAACGGCTAGTTTTTTGACCGTTGCCTTGGGGCTGTTTTGTCTTTTGCTCTGGTTTGTTGGCTGAGTTGTGAGAGGGTATAAATACCCCATTGTCTTCAACTCTCAAGCTAACCAAGAAATGTTTTAAAAGAAAAGAAAAGTTTAAGCAAGGGTTTAGGGTTTTACTGTTTGTTTTGAGTTTGGGTTTCTGTTTACAAAGGAGGAAGTTTTCACTGCAGATTGAGGGATTCATTCTCAATCCCCTTCATCCTCTTCTTGTGTTCTTAGAGAAGTTTTCTAACTCTTTTCTCTAGCAATTTCATTATTGATTTTCATATTCTTATTATTGCTAGTTTGTTAATTGAGTTAGATTTTATTTTACTCATTGTTACACACACCCACATTGAGCTTATAGTATTTGCATACATAGTATAGTTGGGTGGTGAGAGATTGTAAAATTGAGTTGTGCTACATTGTGTTCTCATCTATTGTAGAGAACAAATTTGTTGTATTTACTTTGTGAGTGTTGTAAGGTTTTCGGTGAGCTAGAAACCGAGTGTGTTGTGAAGTTTTCGGTGAACTAGAAAACCGAGTGTGAGGAGTGGACGTTGATCGGTGAACGTTGAAAACCGACATTGTGAGGGTGAGTGTGAACGTTGATCGGTGAGCGTTGAAAACCGACACTGTGAGGTGTAAACGTTATTCGGGTGAGCGTAGAAAACCCGGTTGTGATAGTGGATTTCTCCCCGGGAGTGGGGAGCGGAGACGTAGGACGGAAGGTCCGAACTCCGTGATCATATTGCTTGTTTGAGTGTGCTTTGGCGTTCTTTCATATTTATGTTCATATCTTATATCGCCATTGTCATTAGCTCATTATCTATATCATCCACTATCTTGTTTAGATTGTTTACCCCTTGTGTTAGTTTACATATCCTATACATATATCATATTGTATATCTCTTTGATAGGATATATCATCTTGTGTTAGCTCATATATCCTTGCATATATCTCATAGTATATCTCATTGCTAGGATATTTACCTTTGTTCATTTTGCTTATTCTTGCACATAACTCTTGTATATCTATCTTGCAAGAATATACTTGTTAATTAATTTTAATTGGCACTTAAATCGGATTAGATTAGCATAAGACCCTAATCACCCCCCCTCTAGGGTCTAACAATTGGTATCAGAGCTTGGTGCTCTTTGATTTAAGGTCTAATCGCCTTGAGTTAAAGATCCAAGTTAGCTTATTGTGCTAATCTAATTTTGAGCTTTATTTGTATCTTGCTTGCATATATTTTTACAAATTATGAATATGAATGATGCATCTTGTTTAGGCTATGATTCTAGTATTGCTCCTAAATTCAATGCTTTCCCTTATGCTCAATGGTGTTTTAGATTCAAAATATTTGTTCAATCTAAAAATATCGATTTATGCGAAGTCATTGATTGTGCTTATATTGTGCCCACATTGGAGAAATCCAAGTGGAGCAAACATGATAAAAAGATGTTTATTATGAACAAGCTTATGTTAGAATTTTTATTAAATGCATTTGATTCATTTATGTCTAACAAGCTTGATTCTTTTGATAGCGCTTATACATTATGGAAATTCATAGAAGCGCATCAAGGAGACTTGGAGGCGATCCGACAAGCTTTGGAGGATCCCGCTTCAAGTTCATATGGAGCTTCATGCACACGTGCACTAGGCGATAGCCCTAGTGAGGTTTGCGAGTTCGAACCCGATAATGATTTATCTAGTGATGAACTTGCTTGTGCTAGTGAAAAATTATTACATGCCTTTAACAAATTGCAAAATGATTTCATTAATTTACAAAGCAAGCATGTAGAACTTATATCCGATCATGAGAAGCTAGCTTCCAATTTTGATATCATTTCCAAAGAAAATGTTGCTCTTAAAGAAAGTAATGATATGTTAAAATTGAAAATGAGAAATTATCATCATCCATTTCTAGCTTATCTCATGCTAAGATTGATGCCATGTTAGAAGTAGAGAACATAAAAAATAATACAGCTTCTTTTATAAATAACTATTTATGTTCTACTTCTAAAGGTGCATATGTGCCAAAAAATGAAAACTTGAATCTTATGAAAAAATGCATTTTATCTTTAGATTCAACTTTGAAAATATGCATTAATAACCATAAGAAGCTTATGAACATTTGTGCCAAGACCAAATCAAAATCATCCACTCATTATGCACACATGTATAGCAAAACTTATAAGTGTTCTATTTGCGGCCGTCAAGGTCATTTAGCTAAGTTTTGTTATGATGTACAAAAACATAAGAATATTAATCATTCTTGTGCATCTCATGTAGCTTCTTCATCACATACACATGCATATGCTTATCATGCACATCATAAACATACTAATGTGTTTAAATGTAATCTTTGTGGTCGTTTTGGCCATTTGGCAAAATTTTGCTATGATTTGAAAAAGACTTCACTTTTGCCAAATGATTTTAAAAGACCACAAAAGTTTAAATGTGATGTTTGTGGTAGATTTGGCCATTTGGCGAAGTTTTGTTATGATTTGAATAAATATTCAAACTTGCCAAATTTCTCAAGTAAACCACCTTTGTTTAATAAGGTTTCTCATTTGCAAAATAAATTTAAAAGACAATCTTTAGTTGCAAATGATTTTCGTGCACGCTCACTTGGTCAACATAAGCAAATGCTTCCTTTCCATTGTACATATTGCAATCGGAAGGGTCATTTGAGTAATTATTGCTATGACCGATCCCGTGCACCATATATGTCCAAGAGGGTTCATAACCCTAGGACTTTGAGCTTTAATGATAGGGGTCATGTCCCTAAATCTTTTGGTACCAAGAGTTCTTGGGTACCAAAACAAATTTGATTTTCAAACTAAGAATTTTAATGTTTTTATCCTTCTTTGTCTTGGTTTTGAAAATTATGCTTTGAAATAAGAGCTTGATATAATTGTTGCCTCTCTTAAAAATTGTGTTTTGATTTGTTGTTTTTGAATTCATTATAATTCACTTATATGATGATATTTATGTGTTTGTGCTAATGGATCATCTATTCGTGCTTTATAATGTATTCTATGAGTGGTTTGATCAAGTTATGTAAAGAAAATTTTTCTTTATTGATCAAACATTGTTTTTGAATATAAACTTTGATTTATGATTTCTTTTGGTTGAATTGTTTTCATTTGAAAACTTTTTGCATGATTCTCATGTTCCTCTTCTTTTGATTTCATAAATCTATTCTTTTATATGGTTTTTATATTTTTTTTTGTGTTAATGAGACACTATTTTCATATTGACATATTTATATGTGTTCTCATTATCTTCATGTATGTGAGTAAATTTTTAGCATATTCATGTATGCTTGCTCACATATGTTTTGCCATGATCTTTATTGCTTATATTCTATATGGCATTTTGATAGGGGGAGCAATCCCTATACTTGCTTCATACTCACCCATGCTTATTTGTAGGGGGAGCTTTCGCTCTCTTAATTCTTTTGTCCCCTTTTTGATGTTGTCA